GGGGTTTTAGAACCTAAGCCTGGAGAAGGAAATGAGATAGGGAGCAGGCAAAGTCAAGACAGAAAATAGATCAAAGTATATGACTATATTGTGGAACTTTTACTACACATACCCGGTTCAGGGCTGTCCCATATCAGGCAGCTGCCAGTCTCAAGACCCCCTAATCTAAGAGACCATATAACTTATGTCCAAACTCAGACTCTTTTTGAGCTGAAAGAGGATACTTAATTTACACAGTTGATCTACAGCAAGCATAAATCAGGACTGTTCCAGGGAAACTGAGAGATCACCTTACCCAAATCCCATCCTTATCTTAGTATTCCAGAGGCACTAGCTCTGTCCTTAAAACTCCGTATTGACTGAATGAATGTGTTATGTCTCTGGAGACCTAAGCAGTCCTAGTCCCATACACTGAACTATCCATTTAATCCTGCTCTGCCACTAGGCTGTCCGACTTTGTGCTCCAGTTATAGTAACAGAACTTATTTGGTCTTTGCTTTGGGACCTGTCCTTTAAGATGGCCATCTGCCTTGCTCTTGGCATGACCTCTCCCAGTGACCAGGACCTATTCAGTTCTTCCCCTCAGTTCCCAGCCAGTGACTCAGGCCCCACTCCTGCAGACAGATACCCCTTGATGCTTAAGTATCACTTGGCCTCTACAAAGGTACCAGTGTTCCCCACTAGCCTCAAGTACATCAGTGCCCAAACTGGACTTCACCTTGCCCTGGGTTTCACCTTCATCACCTTACCCTTCAGAATTTGAATTCTACCTGATAACTGGACTTTCTCTCACAGTTGTCAGTGCCTCCCACCCATGGGGCGGGTTCCTTTCTAGTGAGCCCTGTCCTACAGCAGTCAATGAGGTCAGGCCAGGCTCCTGCCTTTCTCTTGGGATTACAGAAAGACCAAAGAGAGCACTTAGTTAGGGAGAGTGTCCCAAAGTGGGTTAGAGGAAAGCTGCGCACTTGTCCTGGCCCTTTGACCACATCTAGTCCTATAGACACTTTACATGCATTGTAAACCAGCATGACACCTGGGCCATAGAAATGCTGCAGTGGAACAAATTGGAGTCTGACAGATTTAGGTTCAAATTCAGGCTCTACAATTTATCTGCTGCATGATGTGAACAAGCCCCTAAATTCTTCTAAACTCTCTGAGCCCCCTGGTCTGTAAAATGGCTACAATTAATGCCAAGCTTGTTTTGAGGATTAATTATACTATGTGTAGTGCCTAGTGTAGCATCTGGTAAAAGTAGGTGTTCGTTAGCATGTGGTTACCACTATGTTATATAGGTTTGGTAGCCCACAATGAGGTGTGTGGCCTTTAGTAGATACTGAGGATAAGGATAGGAAGCCTTCAATTAATGGTAGTTACCAAGACACTAAGTATTAGTAGCATTTATATTATCTATATCCAAGTCTTAGTTTTCTCTCCATTAGGTGTGTGGCCTTGGATAAGATGCTTGAGGCTATAATAGACACGAAAAGTGCTTCGGAGGAAAACAAAGCATATCTTATTCACATTATTGCTGTGTCATATAGGGATGTGGCATCTCAGCCACAGGATCCACACTGCCCCCCTTCCCTGTCCTCCAAGTCTCAGTGAGAAGAAATTTCAGTCCCCAAATGGAAACCTCAGAAGGATGCCCAGCTCACCAGCCCAGCGGCCAAGCCCAAAGTGTCTCGGGGGCATGAAACTCCCTGGCTGTGGTTTGCTTCCAGCCCAGGGGCTCTATGCTACATTTACCAACATGGACGGGGAATCCCCAGGGCTTTGCAAGGATTGGAAATCCACTCACCACCCCCACTTCCAGTACAGAGAGGACCCCTGGGTCTGCCAGCTCGAGTCCCCTCCCTCCGGGGCTGCTCTGCATCCAGCACACTTAAGAGATGCCCACATCTCCCCTGTAGGGCCACTGCATTAAGGAGAAGAAGGTGAACTGCTTTCTACTGCACTGCAGTGAGACCAAGAGAAAACAGGCTGATGCTGCCACAGGAGTGAAGGAGGTCTGAGGGTGCTGGTCATTTGTAGTTGGGACTGAGGGAGGAGTGGGGAGAGTTATCTTCCCTGGGCACACCCAAGAATGGACAAATGAGCCCACTCTAGTCTTCTCTGCCCACTCACTGGGGGAGGAGAGAAAGGGACACCTGCCCTTACTGATCAGGAGTGGGCTCTCCAGCACACATTTATGGCCATTTCCAGACTTGCACCGGCCTCACTCAGGAGCACTCCCCACCCACAAACCCAGAATGCGTCCTGAGACTCCCTGATGGGTTCCCTGACAAGGCGTCATCTCCCTCCTTTCCTACCAGAAGAGCAGAAGCTGGGAAGGGGCAGAGAAGAGTTGGCAGGTATAGAAAGGAGAGTGGATATGCATATGGAATTTTTCTAGTGTAAGGACTTGACCTGTGTCTTCATGAGTGTCTTTTCGAGAGGTAGTGGAGTGCAGGAGTTAAGAGCCTGGCAGGCTTTGCAGCCAGAGACCCAGGCTTTAGTCCTGGTCCTGCTATTTATTAGTTTGGTGGAAGGTAGACCCGGATCTGGGCTTAAAGCAGAGAAAACCAGTACTGGAAGGGGACTCCAAAAGCAGTCTGCTGATCGCCACCATAGCATGGCTAGGTGGACTCTTGCGTATCTTTCCCCAAACACTGACATAATTATAAGTTATTCACAGCCCAAGATTCTGTTAAGCCCCGAACAAATGCCATCCTTGTGCTAGGTACTGCGGAGAGATATAAAAAGAGATATAGCCTCTGCCTCCAGCCAGGCTGGGAGGACAATATACACACATAAAGTAAACTAGACTAGACCAGTCAGATTAGGAGAGCAGAAGGGAGGAGTAAAATCTGAGTTGGGCCTTGAGAGTTGGTGGGATGTGAAGGAGTGGAAAGGATTATGGAAGGCAGAGGAATGAATAGAACAAAGGGTGGTGGAATCTGCATGGCATATATGGCAGATACTGAGAATGCTAGATTGCTCAGAAGATCTGTGGCTGGGAGCACACCAGCTATCCAGACTAGCATCCGTGGGTGGTTGTGCTGTTAGAATCATGGCTCAGAAGTCTCGTTGAAGTACTGGTGAATCTCATAGACTTTAAAATTGGTTACAACCAGACTATGAAATGCCTTGAATTCTAGTGTAAGGAAACATGAGAAGGGGCGTGATAGATGACACAGTATCTGCTGATGGGTAGACCAGGAAGGGAGGCCAGTAGGAGGCTATTGCAAAAGTCCAGGACTGGGGTGCAGACTGGTGGGAAGGAGGATGTGAGCACAAGACATCTTCAGCCCTCATCCTCTTGGCTTCAGGGTTTGCAGTATGCACTGCTGACTAATCTTGATCTCTTGAAAGTCCTTATCTCTCAGTGTCCAAGACTCTGAGCTACCTGGCACAAATATTCTTTATCTGGGAGATCTTTCTCCTTCATCCAACCACTGGTGTTCCTGAAAGCTCAACACACACAAATCTTGTGTCCATACAGCCTCAGGCACTTTTTCCATCTTCCAGAATTCCACCATCATCTTGCTGCAACCAGTCCTCACATGTTTTCAGCCCTGCCCTCCAAAACCTCAGACACACAAGATGCTAATGAACTTCCTCTCTCCTCTCTGCATTCCTCCTTTCACCCATCTTCCCATTATCCAAATTGCTACTGTCTATTGAGCATTTTCCATGGTTCAGGTATATTCCATGCAATTTACACAGTGAAGGAGATAATACCCCCATTTTACAGTTGAAGAAAATAGGACTCTGAGAGGTTAACTTGGGAGTTGGCAAAGAGACTACCAGACTCATGCTCTGATTCTAAAATCTATGCTCTGTTATGCTCCTCTCTCATATCTCCATCTGCCAAGCAACAGATTGCTCAGCTCAGCCCTCCCCCTGATGCAATCACAGGTCTCCCGTCTGGTTTCCTGGTATCAAAGACCATCAGAACTGGAAGGGCTCTTTGGGATCATCAAATTCAACCGTCTTATAAAAATGGGTCTGTGAAATTCAGGGTAAGAAGTTACCCAAGATCACACAGCAAATCAGGGGCAGAGCCAGGACTAGACCCAGCTCTCTGATTTCCAGATTCATTTCACTTACACCAAATTCTTTTATTTGTCTAGTGTTTTATATCTTGCAGAACTTCTTGACCTAGAGTATTCCCCATGCTCTTTGCCATAACCCTGTGATGTAGATGTTTCATCTCTATTTAACGGATGGGGAGACTGAGACCAATGGAGGTAAAGGGACTTGTCCAAGGTCACACAACTTGGTAAGTGACAACCATGAGACACTCAGGAAGAGGTGAATTACAAAGGTGGTGGTGGGGTGGTACTTGTAAAGATTCAACAGAAAATCCCACAGTATCCCTGTACAGGAAACAAAGCTCAGACAGGCCTCAGGGGAACTGGGAATAGCAAGTCAAGGACCAGGATCTGTCAGTTGCTCAAGGTTGTAAGTTTTCTTCTCACTGCTTCCCAGCATGTCTGCTCTTTTCTCATGTCTGCAAGGCCTCCACTTTTATTCTCTTTTATTCAGCCCACGTGTGACTTGGGTTGGCAACACACCAGCTCTGGGCCAACGGTACCTCAAATACACACTGCGATTGACACAGACTTTCAGTGTCATAATTTTAGTTCTCGAGAAAGACATCCAGATTGGAACAAGTGTGCAGCCCCGGTCAAATTCAGCTGTGGCCAGGAGATGGCAGGGTCTCTTGCTGCAAACATGGCTACGTAATGCCTTGCCTTCTATGGGTGGGGTTAGTTTCCAGAGGAAGGGCCTATGGGCAGTCAAGAATCGCATGTTCTATTACAAGTATGAATCCAGACCTTCTGACTTATTGCCCAGTTCCAGAGCTGCCATAGCTCTCTTGTCCTTTTCATCCAACTCAACAAAGTTTTGACCAAATCCATGCAAGATGCTGCACAAGGTGCTGGGTATGTGACTCAGCTTCTGACTGTCAACTCTATCCTCCTTCCACGAAGGCCAAGAACAGACCAGGAGTGTCTCTCTTTAATAGTCAGGCCACCATGCAGAGCCTTAGCAAGGAGAACCACAGTGATGTGTCTGAGTTCATTCTCTTGGGCTTCTCCAGTGAGTTACAAGTCAGAATGGCCCTGTTCACCTTCTTTCTCCTCCTCTACCTCACCACCCTTCTTGGCAATGGACTCATCATCACCCTGATCTACTTGGACTCGCGCCTCCACACTCCCATGTACTTCTTTCTCAGTATCCTCTCCTTAGTGGACATGAGCTATGTCACCACCACTGTGCCCCAGATGTTGGTTAATATGGTGTGTCCAAGGAGAACCATCTCCTGGGGAGCTTGTGTAGCCCAGATGTTCATCTTCTTAGTTCTGGGCATTGCTGAGTGTATCCTCTATGCCATTATGGCCTATGACAGGTATGTGGCCATTTGCTTGCCCCTTCACTATACCCTACACATGAGCCGTCCCACTTGTATCAAAATGGTCACAGTCTGTTGGTCCATCAGCATAACTGGGGCCCTGATCTACACTGTCTTCACCATGCACCTGCCTTATTGTGGCCCCTACAAGATAAACCACTTCTTCTGTGAGGTCCCTGCTGTCTTGAAGTTGGCCTGTACAGACACATACCTCAATGATCATTTGGACTTCATCTTGGGTTTCGTCCTGCTTCTGGTCCCAATGTCCCTCATCCTGGACTCTTATGTCCGCATCTTTGCCTCCATATTAAGAATCCGCTCATCCCAGGGCCGGCTCAAGTCCTTCTTTACATGTGCTTCCCACATCACTGTGGTCACCATGTTCTATGGGCCAGCCATGATGATGTACATGAGACCTGGCTCCTGGTATGACCCAGAGCAGGACAAGAAGCTGGCCCTGTTCTACAATGTTGTCTCTGCCTTCCTCAACCCCATCATCTACAGCCTCAGGAACAAGGAGGTAAAGGGAGCCTTTTTGAAAATACTTGGAGACAGAGGGACAGCTCAGTGACCCAGGATGTTTCAGAGTTACCCAGAGTTGCAAGTAGGACCAGATGGGGCTCATTTGGTATCAGATAGGCACATCAAGTTCTGACCAGCCTGAGTCTTCCTGGGCTATGAGCAGCTGGGAGAGAATTTGGCCACCCCTAAACTGAAAATCATTGCATCGGTTGAAAAATTATCAGCTGCCACCACACAAAAGCTCAGTTCAATATTAAAGGCAAAGGATTTCTTTTCCAAAAACTATGTCCCTGTGGTTCATGGCCATCACCTTTGTGCTTTTGCTGGGTTCTCCCCTTACCTTTGGAAGTTTATGTCAGCATGATCACAACCAAATGTTTAACATGCACACATGCTATTCTACAGTGTAAGGGAATTTAGGGTGAGAACAACATAAGGAATAGGTAGATTATGCAGCAATATAGTCTTGCATGACTGCATGACATGCACTTACAAGTAATATTTAGCATTGCTTTTTGAATTAGGCTATAAAGTCTGAGCTAGAATTATTTTAGACATATCTGTGTAACAATATGGCCAATAATTGATCTGATCTGGGCTCAGTTTATGAAAGTGATTCTTACTTGGTTTTATGTTTTAAGCTTCACCTTTATTTTGAGAAAAAATACACACATTTCTCAGGAGAAATATGAGTATATATCATATATACGTATATGTAAATATATATGTCTGTATATATGTATATATATACACATGTCTATATGCATATCAGAAAAGGTGGAAGAGAAGCAATAGAAAAGAACAAACATTTAAGTTTCCCCCACAAAAAACAAAAACAAAAATGCTTGCTAATATTTTGTCATATTTAGTTTTAGTCTTTTTTTCCCTCCCTGTTTGTTTTTTCTAAAGGATTGAATAATTACAGATAAAGTTGAGTGCCCTCTGAATACTCCCAATTCCCTGAAGCAACCACTATCATTAAAGTCTATTTATTCAGTCTGTTTTTAAACTTGGACATGCATACATGCTTCCATGAGCAATGCATAGACTTGTTCATGTATCTATTTAAAAAAAAAATTGTGCTTAGGCGAAAGTTTACAGCTCAAGTTAATTTCTCATACAAAAATTTATACACATATTGTTATGTGACAATAGTTGCAGCCCCTATAATGTGACAGCACACTCCCCCTTTCCACCTCAGGTTTCCCGTGTCCATCCAACCCCCTCCTGTCCCTTTCTGCCTTCTCGTCCTGCCTCCGGACAGGAGCTGCCCATTTAGTCTCATGTATCTGCTTGAACTAAGAAGCACACTCTTCACAAATGTTGTTTTATGTTTTATAGTCCAGTCTAATCTTTGTCTGAAGAGTGGGCTTTGGGAATGGTTTTAGTTCCAGGTTCACACGGTGTTTGGGGGCCATAGCTTCCAGGGTTCCTCCAGTCTCAGTCAGACCATTAAGTCTGGTCTTTTTACTAGAATTTGAGTTCTGCACCCCACTTTTCTTCTGCTCCATCGGCGGCTGTCTGTTGTGTTCCCTGTCAGGGTGGTCATTGGTGGTAGTCGGGCATCATCTAGTTCTTCTGGTCTCAAGCTGATGGAGTCTCTGGTTTACGTGGCTCTTTTGTCTCTTGGGCTAATATTGACCTTGTATCTTTGGTATTCTTCATTCTTCTTTGCTCCAAGTGGGTTGGGACCAATTGACACATGTTAGATAGCTGCTCTATTTAACAATATTTAATGGTAGCAAGCTATCAGTACCACTCTAAATTTTTTTTTAACTCAACGTAATGTTTTCCAACATCTATATACTTAATAATAATAGGTCTGGTTTATTCCCTTTAACAAATGTCTAAATATACCACATTTCATTTATCTAACTCGCTATTGTTGAAGACTTGTTTATTTCCAATTTTTCACTATTACAAACAATGCTACAACACAGGTCTCCATACATTTCTCCGTGTGTGAGTATTTTTCCTAGGATTTATGTGTAGAAGTGGACTATGGGGATTATAGAATCAAAGAAATGTCTAATTTACTAGATACTCCTAAATTACTCTTTCAAGTGTTATACCAGTCTTCATTTCTCATCCTCACCAACACTTGATATTGTCCAATATTCAAATGTTTATCTGTCTCATAGATGATAAGTGGTAAACTTTTTGTTTTATTTGCGATTCCTTGATTGCTAGGGAGTTTGGCATCTTTTTGTGTAATATTGGTGCAGTATTGTGTAGTGGTTCAGGGCTTCACCTCTGGAGTCAAGCTTCTGGGTTCTAATTCCAGCTCAACTCATTACTAACTCAGTAATAATGGGCAAGTTACCTAACTTCTCTGAGTCTCAGTTTACTCATCTGTAAATGGGAAGAAAACAGTACATACCTCAGAAGGTTGTCAGAAGGATTAAATGCGATACACATGTAAAGATCTTATCATGCCAAAAAACTCATTGCCTTCAAGTTGATTCCGCCTTATAACGACCCTATAGGACAGAGTAGAACTGCCCCATAGGGTTTCCCTGGAAGGAGCAGCTGATGGGTTCAAACTGCCGACCTTTGGGTTAGCTGCCAAGCTCTTAACCACTGTGCCACCAGAGCTTCAAAGATCTCCTCATAGTGAGTAACAAATAGTAAGTGTTCAATGAATATGAGATAGTTTGTCTTTGCATGATTTGCAGTTCATTGTATATTTTTGAAAGAAGACTTGGTGGCGCAATGGTTAAGCACTCGGCTGCTAACTGAAAGGTTGGCGATTCAAAACCACCAGCAGCTCCTTGGGACAAAAGACCAGCGATCTGCTCCTATAAAGATTTCGGCCTAGGAAACTCTGGGGCAGTTTTACACTGTCATAAAGGGTCGCTGTGAATCGGAATCGACTCGACGGCACACAACAACATATTTTTGAAAGTAATTCTTTACCTGTTAAAGACATTGAAAATATCTTCTCTCAGTTTATTGCTTCTTTCTTTATTGAAAAAGAAATACATGTTTATTCTTGAAATTTTATAAAATATAGACATACAAAAAGAAGAAAATGAGAATCATCCATTACTTTAGACCTGAAGATAAATACTGTTAACACTTTAGTGTCCACAATTCAGTATATTTTTAAAATTTAATTGCTTCTATTAATATTTTTAAAGAAATATATTATGCATATGGTTCTTAGGCAATTATTTGTTTTCATGATTTTTTAATTGAATTATCAGTATGTTTTCTTCTACAGCAAGATTTAATCCTTCAGCAATAGGTTTTGGACATTTATTCATGTTCATTCTTTTTCACTTCTGGAGAGTATTCTTTTTACTTTCTTTTGATGACTACAACAGAAATAACAGAACAGGACAGATTAGAATAGAATGATGATTTTTGATAAATAGAATTCTTAACTTAATGAAGATGAACTTATAAATCTTGGTTTTCCAGCCTCAGTATAGCAAATAATAGAAGATTTTAGAAGTCCAATTTAATATTCCTTACAAAAATTTCCAGACAGAAATTAATTCTGTGGCCTTAATAGTTATTAAATATTGCATGTCTCAAGATTTGCGAGCAAATTCAAGGAGCAAATTCATAAATGAATACATGTCATCAAAGATTTCATTGAGCTCATTAATTCATGAAGGAACCAGTAAGATGTTAGGACTGCTTTGAATGAGAATTTGACTTACAGAGATTTCTCTTCACAACCAGATAAATTTCATTTTTGTTATTATGAATTGGAATCCTTTCCATTACTATGGCAGGAGTCATTTGCATTACTCTCAGTTTTCTATAATTTAGCAGTATACCTACAGTGTTGTAAAATGCTCTAGTCCATAGAAAGTCAATTAAAGGAACACATCCCTATAAAGTCAGGTAATTCTGCAGTATCTTCCAGACAACAACCAGTACTGAGAGGACACAAATAACCTCTTTTGCAAGTCTTAGATATTTCCTGGCAATCTCCTCCCTTATGATTTTAAATTATCTTCCAAGATTCTTCTTGATCACAAAAAAAAGGTTGATCTTATTTCATTTGGCCTCATTGTTTATATAGGTGTAGCAAAAATATTAGCTATATAGGCCTCCTTGAATTTGCTATGCAAATCTTGAGACATGTAATATTTAGCAACTACTAAGACCACAGAATTAATTTCTGTCTGGAAATTTTCATAAGTAATCTTAAATTGGACTTAAAAATCCTCTACTACTTGCTATTGTAAGGCTAGAAAACCAAGTCCGAGAGATTCTCTCACCATATTTTATGCAAAGTATCTATAAATTTGGATGACTCTCTCTTATCAAGGCATTAAGATAATAATTCTCAAATATGATCTTGCTTATACAATTAATTTGACTAACTATATCCTGGTTTAAAAGAAAACAGATTTTTATAGAAATATGCTAACAACGATGTTGTAGTTAGCTGCTGTCAAGTTGACTCTGGCTCATGGCGACCTAGGTACAAGGGAACAAAACATTGACTTTTCTATACCTTGTTAAGAACTCCAAGACCAATTTATTGTTTTAACAGGGACAAAGGCAAATTATAGCTTTGCATTAATATTACACTTACAGTAAAGCTTTCATAATTCCACCTTTTAAAAAGAAAATAAATATCCTGAGCATAAGCCCATTAAAACTGAGTAAAATTTGCCAACATTTTAACACATTTCAGAGCATCTTTTCTCTACTAATAGAGAAAAAAGTATTTCATACTAACAAAAGGAAGAGTCCTCCCAAAGAATATAATAACCATCAACGTAAATGCATTTAGCAACATTCTTAAAATGTATAAACCATCTTAACGAGACTATCATAAATGCAACCAGAGGGGATGGAACAAGAGGTGACAGTCAGCTTTCTTCTTAACAGCTAAAATGCAAATGCACTGAAAGAAAACAACTACCAACCCAGAATGGTGTACTCAGTGAAAATATCATGAAAGAATGAAGTTGAAATAAAGACATTTATAGAATAACAAAAATTCAAAAAATTTGTCAGTAGCGGGCCCTCAGCAAAGAAAATTCTGAAGTAGGTACTTCTGGCAGAAGGAAAATTCTGAAGTAA